CAACCACTGCCACAATAACAACACCATCTGCAACGACACCACACCTCGCCGACACCATCACCAGATCTGCCGCCAACAAACAAATCCAACGCTACAGTAGCGACCGCCACGCAAACGCAACCACCCCCGTCCACCACCAACTGAAAACACACGCAAAAACCACATCAATCGTGGATCTGCAGATCCCGGCCATGGCAGGCAGACCACAACCTTCATTTGAACCCAACCAAACCCTAAAATCCTCTCCACTCTCACCTCCCATATCTCGCAGCCTCTTCAATCTGAAGTAGGCAGCGGCGCTATGAATGTTTGACGCAGCGACGCTCAGATCCGTCATTTACCCTGCCACAACACCACAATAACCACTGACACACTGCCTGCACCGCAACCATAGCCAACACTCCGCAACCAGACCCCACCGCCATCAACGCGACCACCAGATCCGCCATCAACTCGAACATCCCTCACCGCAACCGCCATCTTGCGGGTTCCTGCAGCGGCACCTCACTGCGACCAGGCGACGGCGGTGACAACTGACGATGAATTTGAAAAGAGAATGGAGGGGAGGGACGGGGTGATGACTTGAGAGAGAATGGAGGAGAGGGCGGATTGGTTGAATTTTAGGGTTTGGATGTATTAATTTATAATATTTAATTATTAATTATACAAAAAACGGTGTGGTTATTAAACATAAAAAAATATTTTTATTTTTTTAAAACTTGATTAGTGAAATATCAAACTTAAAATTGGAATTATGAAAACTGAATCTTAAATACCGGCCTGGCTGTAATTTCCTCTTAAGGTATATGGATTTTGTTGGGCCAAAACTAGTGGGCCTACATGGGCCCATTTGCTTTATAAAAATTTCTGTGAGAGAAATATTTCACTCCATTTATATTTTCTAAATTTCCATTCTACTTTAATTCTCTAAACTTTTACAATCACTGGTTCAAATAATAGATAAATAAACATGTATTAACCAAATTTGGATTTACTAAGCCTATTTTTGGCCCCCATTTTTCTAAAAACTAATTTTTCCAAAACTAATTTTCATCCACATATTCTCTCATAAAATAATTTTACATGTAAACTGAAGACTTTTCCTTATTTTCTAACTACAGATTCTTCAAAAAAATCATTATTAAAAAACAAATTTCTCTAAAAATGGGGCTCAAAAAGGAGTCATGTGTCGCACAACAGATGTAAAACTTTACTAAAATCTAAAATTTCCAAATAGTAATTTTACATTTTCTCAATTAATTCAATTTCATTGCCATTGAACAAAAAAAAAATAAAAAATTAATAACATTTGAATTCATATATGAGAAATAAACACATTAATTTTTAATAATAATTATTCTTTTAACTATAAGACCAATTTGGTAGGTTCCAAAATTAGATGGGCATGAAAGCTGTATTGGGCCATGAATAAACTGTTCATGTGTCAGCCTGGCACAATATGCTTTAAAAGTTTGGCATGCTAAGCCTGAAACACCCGCATGGGTTGGAGAAAAGCAGGTCATGACAAACTTTGCCCCTCTAATAATAATATAGATATAAGTAGTGTGAAATGTTAAAGATGAAATTCTAATGTCAAACAATGGCACAAATCAAATCATGTTGTATCCCACATTGATACATGTTAAACTAGAGCATTGAAATGTGCCTGCATAATGAGGCACGTTTCATTATTTATTGATTTATCATTGTCGAACTTTGTCTGGTAGATAAGGAATGGAGAAAAATCCCAATTTTATATTCTACGTGTCATAGCCGAAACTACTTTACATTACCGCCATTTGTCAAAATGATGAGTTGACTTGTTAGTATAGCTCATAAAACCTGTGCATAAAATCAAGAGGAATATTTCATAAGAGATCACTATTGGGACTTCTGATTAGTGGGGAAAAAATGAATGAACACACCAATAAAAGTTTACAAAAAGAGAATGTAAACTAAAAGGTCAATGTTGATTGGGAAATCGAATAAAAGGCCTAGTTTCTGAAAGAAAAGGGCTTAATTGTCTGTCGTTAGCAATTTGATAACCCGAAATAACCTTGTATATCTGTTAAAACTCTCTGGAAAACAGGCATTCTGGCTAATTGATCAATTGCAACAACTCTTCATCGGCTCAGCAACAGTGGTTGTTGAACAAAGTACCAAAGAGGGAGATTCCAGTTTTGGGGACAATAGCGTTCTAGTGATAAGGACAAGCTTGGTGAGTTTATTTGAGTTGGAGGAGAGTTCTAGTTTTGAGGACATAAGTGTGGTACATCAGCATGAGCTAGAGAAACAATGTTGATGTTTTGGGAGGACCAGAGCAAGTAGGCCTGAGTGAGCTGGTACCGAGGAGAATTATGTTTTAGGAACGTTGTTGCCTTGTTGCCTTGTTGTTGCTTATTGTCCTAACGGATTGTTGTTCACTGCATCGAGGAACAGATAGATATGAAGGGGAAGAGGATTTTCTGATATATATAGTAATAACAATTTTAACTGTGAACCAAGGCGAATATCACTATTAATTCTTAGGTACATTGACATTTTGGCTAATAATTAGTAAATAATTTTATATTCAACAGAAATGGAATGTTAAAAACCATTGTCAATTGAACTCCTATTCCAGCAAAATTACTAAAAATTGATTGGCACCTCAAAGCAAAAAGGAGATGAAAATAAATCCTAACAGCGTTTGTTGGAATGTGTGTACGTTTGTGGTGGAGTGTGCTTGTTTGGTAATGGGATTTTTTTTGGAGATCAGTGGTGAATGGAGGAGGGATTCTTCAGCAAAAATTGTGGATCACGTGCTGCTCACTTGCCGTTTCAAATGAATTTGGTATATTCGGTTAAGGATAGTTGTGCCTCTTGAAAACCTCTGTCTCGTGCATTTGTGTGTGATTACAGTTTCCAAAAAAATGATTAAGTTACCTATTCCTACTGCTATTTGAATACAAGATTTTAATTAAAACTAATATTAACTAAGAAAATTTAAAGCAATTAACCAATAAAATATGATTTTTTTTAAAAAAGCATTGCGACTCACAATTGCACTGTAATTATCACCTAATAATTGTGGGGATATACCCCCAATAAAAAAGCAGGTCATCAGCTCAAGATCTTCTACCAGTAAATTGCACTTGCAACTGCAGAGACATGCATAGATGATTTATATATAGAGCTGTATTCAGAATCTAGATTTGGATGCTACGAAAAGGAAATGCAAATGAAAAAGAACAACCTTGTAAGGTAAAATTAAAATACCTTAATATTTCCAAAAAAGCAATTAAAACAAACTGTTCTCGTTTTATTTATTTCTCATTCACATATACGAATTTTTCTCGGCTCAAACTTCTGATCCAAGAGTCGCACTGTGTTTAGCTTTCTAGAGTTGACCATTACGTCGATTAGTAACAAGCCCAAGCCCAAAAATTATGTCTAATTTTCTCGAGTTGATCACAACATCACTTTCAAATATTGAAGCCTTCTGTGCGGAGGCTGGATCCATTTTTCACAAGCTGATTCACCATGCTCCACAATGCACTCATCTCTCAGCTTCTTGGTGTCGGGGCAAGCACAACAGATCTTCTTCTTCGGTTTTGAATCAGAAGAAGGTGCCACAGTGGTTGAGCCTTGGTCCTTTTGCGATTGTAAAGAGACAACAGAAGAAGAGTTCTGTATTGGCAATCCATCCATTGTCAAGGTCCCTGGATGATATAGAATAGCAGACACTTCTACAATACGAAAGAATAGAGAATGATGAATAAAATTTAAACAAACGTAAGAACAGCACGGAATGACAAACGGCCGACAAGAATCTAGAATCAACATGCAGAAGACATGAAAAACTTGAAAAAAACCAAAAGCCAAGAGATAGTACACGTGTACACCAAACCACCAAGGACAATATTGTCAAGCTTCAAAACACTTACGCAGTATGTAATCAAAACCATCTCTTTTAAATTTGTAAATAAAGCTTTTGGATACTCTGAACTACCAAAGTCTTTTAATTGATTGTTGCTTGTCTATGAACAAAGATGATGGTTGCCAAATTTATGCAGTATGTACTCAAAATTATGGCTCAATACAGTTCGTGAGCCTTTGATGACAAGAAAAGTAATGATACCATATTGAATTTCCCATTTCTCAAAAAAATCCCATTATTGTTCCATTCTTCATTGAATTTGCGAATTAGAGGTGAGAGTGTTTTAAAAATAAAATGTGCACGGAAAACTGCCGTACTTCTCGGGGGAGCCACAATTCCTGGAATTTTAATTATTTTGTGGATGTATGTAAAAATTGAAGAAAGAATTAGAGAATTTGCAGGGAGAGAATCAATGGAAAGAAAATGAGAGCACGGTGACAGAGATTTTAATGAATTGTCGAAAGCATGCATGTATTTTATGTGCAATAATATGCGATAGATCCTGAATTATGTTCCAGATATGATTATTAATATTATATTTATCTTAAACGAGGGACAGATACGTCAAAACTACACATGGAATGTTGTGATGACTAAGGATCTAAGTACTTTGTGTCTTTCTCTCCCCCTTGTTATGAAGCACTAACACTCCTATTGAGTGGCGTGACAGGGTCAGAAAATATTTTATGAAGAGTCTAAGCTTGTCACTCGAGACAAGCTCAGACCTTGGCCCAACATAAATTGTAACATCATGGGGATATCTTTGCTTGGTTATGGTGAAGTTGTTCTTTGTCTGCAAGTGACCATCAATAAATTTAAGTATAGGGATGACATTAGCTCTAGCGATAAGTTGGTTGTTGGGAGGAAAGCAGCTAGTACTTCTCCAGATCAATCTCCAGTGATTAGGTGGCCAAAGATGTTACAGAAATAGAACCAATCCAGGAGATAAAGGTCCTACTGTGAGTGGATCACTCAAGTCCATTTTAAAAACATCATCAGTTAGACTGAGCAATGGGAGTGAAAATGCTACGATTAATTGTTTTAAGAAGGAAGATTATGGCGGTCTGTTTAATACCAAATCCACATCCAAGACGGTGCCTAATAATTTTGGTGCTCAAAAGTCAGCTATGCTGGAAACTAAACCTGAGTGTGACTGATGTAGGACAATTTTATTATAAATAGGATAAAAATTAATTATTTATAATAGCATATTTAAGATTTCTAGTTTTAATAGGTTTTATCTTTTTATTCGTATTTTTTGGTTAGAATGTGATTTCTTTTCTTTATTTATTAGAATAGAATTTCTAATTTCTTTTAGATTGGAATTTTATATTAGTTTCCTTATTTTAATTGCCTTGTATTATTTTTACCAATACACTTTTTCATAACAATCAATCTAAATCAATAAAAGCAAGATTATTCCAATATCATTCTATTTTTTACAAAATCCTTGTTACAAACGCTTCCGCACCAGAAATAGTTGTTATATTATTTACTTTCTAATCATTTTTATTGGCTTTTGTTGCAGGAATTTTTCCATTTTACCAATTTAGACAACTTTTCGATTTTGTCAAAAAATTGAATTATAGATAGGACCAGAGAAACATATACAATTATAATCATATTCAGAGATATTGATTTACTCTGAATTCTCAATTTTCCCC